GGCTCTGTCTTTACATTTATTTTGAAAGATGAAGCTCGTGATTACGGTAAGGGGCGTTACATTTCTGACGAGTGCTTGTGGTGTTCGGCCAATGATAATGCACTGGGTCAGCTGGCCAATCAGAGCAGACTGCGCTTGTCGGAAGGAGGGACTTTGTAGAAAACAAAGCGTTTGAGAGAGGCGGGGCATAGAGGACCTACAATAATGTACAGTATTTGAAAAATAATGTGTTTTTTGAACATTAAAGCATGTCAACATATTCTGTTACATCAAATACACCAAATAATGATCTTTTAAAAAAGCATCATATGACCCCTTTAAAAAATCAGAAAATTGTGTACTTGGCTTCAATAAGGGAATGAATACAATCACAAGAAACAGAGTGTGTGGCATAATTGATAATTTGAAATAATGTGGGTTGACAGCTTTACCAAAAACATAAAGAATCAAGGGTTATTCTCCCAAAAATGAAAATTCGTTCCAAACCTGTAAGACCTTCATTCATTTTCGGAACACAAGTTAAGATAATTTTTATTTAATCCGAGAGCTTTCTGACCCTCTTTAGACAGCAACGTAACTACCACATTCAAGAACCAGAAAGGTAGTAAGGACATTGTTAAAATAGTCCATGTGACATCAGTGGTTCAACCTTAACTTTATGAAGCTACGAGAATACTTTTTGCGCACAAAGAAAACAAAATGTTTGCGCGTTCACGAGAGTACCACGATGCATGCGTGTGATGCTACTAACGCAGGAGCCAGTGTTCTGACGTAGTAACAGGGTCCCTGACTCCCAGTTCTATCTCAATATCCACCAAAATTACCCCTTGATTATGTCATTACGATCACTGTAAACTGACTGCTAAATTAAAAGATGTTACTTGAATAGAGTGCAAGTTCTAGAAGTAAAAATAGCATTAATGTTTTCCATAGGGAAATGTATTTTGAACAAATTCTGAGCTACAGGGTTGTTGAGATGGCATATGGCTTTACCAAAAGCATCAACCTGCACCAACTTATTTTATGGATAATTGTTTACCATTTTCACCAGAATTTCTGGTGAAAAACCACAATACCTACAATTCTGCAGAGTAATTTTCACCAACCAGAGAATCAAAATAGGCAAATTGCACCAGAAGAACTATTTAGCACCCACCCTCTCCCACGAAGCACGGCAAATAAATAAACTTTTTTTTTAAAGGATAGGAAAAGAAAAATAATGATATTGCTGAAAAAGTGGACAGGCATTGTTGTCTTTGCTGTGCGTCCACATAAAATGGACCCTGACTGCATATGTGATCATAAGTTAATGCATTAGAGCATGTCTGAAACCTGTCTCACCATTCTCTCTTTGCAGGCTGTTATAAGATCACTACAGTGTTCAGTCACGCACAGACGGTGGTCTTATGTGTAGGATGTTCTACAGTGCTGTGCCAGCCCACCGGAGGAAAGGCGCGCCTCACAGAAGGTATCGCTTGTATACACAGACACCAATGCACATGACTTTAGAGGGATTGCCCAAAGCATGAAGCAACCTAGTTTCTCTAGTTTCTTGAGAAATCCGATCCCATGAGCAGAATCCCAAAGTGGGCTTTTCTTCTTTCTAGCAGCAGTCAGAACATGTCACACTAACACAATAAAATACAGCCTTCAGAAGATGACTAATGAATTCATGTTTAGGTGTGGGAGAAATATGGCTGGAAGTGCACTCACAGATCAAAGATACACATACATGCGCTTGTAAATGTGCCGGTGCCATGGCAACACACCCACACAGACCACCCTAGTGTTTCCCACTTGATCATTGTTCTCTTCTTGAGCTGAAGCCTGATGATTGGTGAAGCTCTGAAACTCACTGCCCTGCTGGCAAAACGTTCAGCAGAAAGCAGGAGAGGTAGTAGCAGATTGTTTCTGTACCACTCAACACCATTGCATTATTTAGTTCCCCACCCACAAATTGACATTAATATGTTCTATTATTTAAAGAATTTTAATTGCTTCATTAGTGCGGATTTGTAAAACAGAAATACATTTTTTTGAGAATTTTCCGGCAACTAGAGATTATTTTGATAATTGATTAATCGATTATTTCTTTGCTTAATTGCTCAGATTAAACAAAAAGCCTTTATTTTTTGTTACATATATATATGTGTGTGTGTATATATGTGTGTGTATGTATAGATATATAGATATCGATCAAATCAAAATTAGCATGTTATTGCAGGCGATTAATTTTTCCAGTTTAACTGCTTTTAACGCAGGGGCGGAGCTAGGGTTGGCCACCCCACTCACAACTGCTGCTTCTGTCTCTTATTTCTTGACAAGAATTGAGTTTATTTAGATGCAGAGCATCTTTATGACTGCGCTCGTAGCACGTGCTCTTTAATTGCATGCACAAATAAGGCGGCTATAATAATATCCTAATTACCCAGTGATGTCTGTTAATCAAAGAACAAAAGTAAAAGAGGAAATCAATAACTTTTGTAGCTTTAAGATTCGTCTATATTTAATTTCGAATTTCGTGTTTGATAACTTTGTTAAATTTCGGAATATTTCCTACTATCTGAAGGGCAACGGTAAATATGACATTTATTATAATGGGTTTATGTGAAGATTGTTTGAATTTCACTTAAATTAGAAGTTAGTTTTTCAAGTCTAATAAATGTTCAAATTGATAGCTTTTAATTATACTGTAATGTTAGCATAGTCAACATTACATATAGTGAATGGTTAAATATTAGGGAAAAAATAATTTCCTAGGGACATCAGTAGTATTGGTATCAGGGATACTTGCCTTCAGTCATAAAAAAAAGATACCATTAAACAAATATTAAAATATATACTGTCTTTGTTGTTTCTACATTAATTTGAAGACGGAATGAGAAATTATTGCAATATAAAAGAATATTTAAAAACTTTAATGTAAGGTGGGATTAATCAATTAATTTCAGAAAAAATGTGCGATTAATTAGTTGTTTTTAATTCATTGACCGCATAAATAAATCTATAATGTGAATGCATTTCTCAGTTGCACTTCCTGTTTGTCGCTCACTTAAGTCTTTGATGTTTAAGAACCCTGTTAGGACAAGCAATTTTTCAAAGTAAAACTGCTCATGAATTTCTAACATTTACGGATAAGAAAATAACTAAAATGTAAGTAATGCGCTGATGAAAACACCTCAAGCATATTAATCAAGCACCTGGCAAGGCAACCTACATGAAACGATACGCTTACAACATTCTTTAAAATGTTTAATTGTGTCTTGAACAACTTTTTCTTGCTCTGTTTTATCTGCGGGGGGGTTTTTTCTTCATAGAATTACATTTTCCAATACTGTGTGGCGAAATACATAATTGATTTCAAACTGAATTCTAAAAGCCTTGTTCTTTCTCTCTGTTAACAGGATGCTCATTCAGGAGAAAGCAGCACTAGTCTCTCATTAACCAATATGCAAGGATGAGGAAGACCACGGGTGGAGAGACAGGATTGGCCACTCCACAGGGATTTCAGTGACTCCGAGGCCGTGTTTCTGATCTCTAACGGGGCAATGGAGATGAAAGCTAAACCGAGAAGAGTGCTAGAAAACTTCAAATGTCAAAGTGCTGTCTGAACACAGAGCGTGTGAGGTGTATAACCACCAAACCTGTCTCTCTCTCCCTCACTTACTTTAAATAAAGGTTCATTTTTCATTTATGTGTGTGCTGTGGTAGATAATTTACCAACCTATCTGCGTTGTCACTGCCACATAAATATAGTTTTAGTGTCATGCTTGTCTGTTGTATAACTTAATAATATCACCAGGTAATACAAATATTCTTCCTTAAATGTTGTATGCATTGTCTAGATGAGCAACAGGCAGACTGTTAACACTTTACAGGCATTATACATAGACTATGGTTCAAAAGTGTTGGGTCAGTACGATTTTTTAAATATTTCTGAAAGTCTCTTATGCTTAGTCTCTTACGGCTCAAAGCTGATTTTTTTTTCCAGCAGCCATTTATCGTCTTCGGTGTCACATGATTTTTTCAGAAATCGTTCTAATATGCTGATTTGATGCTCAAGAAACATTTGTTTTCAAAGTTGATAGTGGTTGTGCTTAATATTTTTGCAGAATCTGAGCTTTTTCTTTTAACATTCTTTGATGAATAAATTACAAGAATTCAACTGACTAAGAAATAATTATGAATGTTAGAAATGTCTTTACTGTCACTTTTGATGCACTTTTAATGCATCCTTGCGGAATAAAAGCATTATTTAAAAAAAACATCTTACTGACCTCAAACTTTAGAGTAAAAATAGGTAGCGCAAGTAAAAAGAAGTAATACTCTTCAGGAACCTGCGTTTGCATGTTTACTGTTGAATTGTATAGACTGTTATAAAGGAAATAACCATTTACTTGAAAGATTCTCACTGCGACTTGGGGGAAAAGATGCAGTAAGTTACTTGGTACTCCAGAGCCACTGTTTTCTCTGCAGGACTTTTGGTTTTGGCAGTGATGGTGTGAGCCACAGGTAGAAATGTTCGTCTTCTGAAAGAAATTTAGAAAACATTCACAAAAGAAAAAGGTAGTTTATAGGTCAGGTAGCATGTTTGAACCATAACATGCCAATTTAGGTGCACTTAACTTTTTCCTCATTACAAAGGTTTGACGAAGTAAATAGCAGTCAATAATGTAAGCAAAGCCACAATGCAATGGACAGATCTTTTATTTTGTATTGTGACACATCTGAGTGAAAATTATTATCTAAAAGAAAACAGTGTAGGGCAGGGACATAGTTCAATTCACCTGGTTTTGATTAAACTTGCAGAAGATTGTAGGAAAGGGGCGGATTAAGATTAAATGATTGTAGAAGTCCTTCATACATCAGAGAAAAGTCAGTGGTTTTACCAGAAGATTGATGCATGACGTTTGATTTAAAAAAACTATATGCTTGGATAAATAATTCACTATAAGATTATTTAGAAAATAGATGGATTTTTGATTCATGCTGACTTTAACATAAAAAGAACTGAGTGTACCTTTAAGGTAAAGCAGCTGGATCAAATAAAATGGGAGTGTCACCTGTATTAGTAAAGGGTTTGAGGATTGCAGGTACAGTCTGTGTGAGACAGCATGGTATTGTACACTGGAAATCATACATTTAAGAAAATATAAAAAGATCTGCAGGGCCAAAGCTTCAAATCCTGATTCTGAATCACATGATGGCTCTAAAGTCAATCACTGGGCATCAAGCATATTCAGTGTTGCACAGAATCAGAAGTGAAAACGCTTGAGTGTGACTTCTTTACCTATGAAAAGTGCAGCAGTGGTGGCCAGTACAGCAAACAGAGCAAATACTGAAATGAACAAGTGGCCAGAATTTGTTCCAAGATGACCTGAATATACAAATAAAGTGCATTTTCAGAGCTACAGAAAAAAATGTGTATGTTACACTACTGTTCAAAAGTTTGGAGTTAACATTTTGTTTTGTTTTTTAACATTAAGGCTACATTTATTTGATCAAATTATGTAGTTGTCCCACAAATTATTAATAATTTCCCTCATTTTAGTAAATTGTGGCCACACTGAACTAATTTATTCCCTTAATTTAGTAAATTGTCCCCAATTTGTACTTTTTCATTCCCTGATTTTAATTGCATTAATTTTTTATTTGTGCCCACAATTTAATTTAAATGAGTGAATGAAAAATAGATCATGGCCATGGACTAAAATGGGGGAATAAAAAAAAAAATTAAAGAACAAAATATTCATTTTTGGCCACGATAAATATATTTTTGTCAGCAATTTTCAGCAGCCATTACTCCAGTCTTTAGTGTCACATGATTCTTCAGAAATCATTCTAATATGCTGACTTTGTGCTCAAGAAACATTTCTTATTATCAATGTTGAAAACAGTTGTGCCGCTTAATATTTTTATGAAAACTGATGCATTTTTTTTAGGATTCTTTGGTGAAAGGAGAGTTCAAAAGAATAGCATTTGTTTGAAATAGAATATTTGCTGTCACTTTTTTGTCACAATTTAATGCTGAATAAAATACTAATTTCTTTAAATATACATTATACTGACCCCAAACTTAAACGTTAGTGTAAATGTAGAATATAGTGAAAAATTGCTCTCTAACCTGACTCCGGGTTGTCCATCACTCTAGTCACCAATACAATGTGCTTTTGTGGAGAAAGGTCTGTGTACAGGGTAATGCTTGCAGTAGACGGTACCTGATCCAGGAAATGTAAGGTTGGATAGACTGAAATAAGGAGGAGAGTGGGGTCTTCATCTGACCAGACTGGATCAGATAACACAATGTCTGGGGTGTCTGACTGAACCTAATTATTATATAACAGTGAAGAAATAAAAAAAACTGAGAAGTGATTTCATTTCAAATGCATCTCTCCCATGATCCTTCTCATTCTTACCCTCAGTGTGCTGAGTATGTCTGTGGTGCCAAACACTGTGATTTCAGCCACAGGCTGCTGGGAGGAAAGTTTGATCTTAGTGACGGGACAATGGAAGGCTGGCACGTACGGGAGCTGAAGGGATGACTGAAAAGTGTGTGGTGACTGAAGAAGTGACAGCAGGGCAGCTGGGGCTGACTGAGTCCGCAGACAGATGGATGGAGAGAGACCGAGTGGACAGGAGATGGAGGATGGAGTCTGACTGGGGCTGAGAGATCCTGCAGCTGTACTGAGCTGAAACAGGACACAACAGACAGGTTAGAAGTGAGTCATAAAGGCTTGCTTCATAGTTAATCAAATAAAATGTATTTGATCAAAATGCAGATCTGTAATATTGAGAAATATTATTAACATCTAAAATATTTTCTGTTTTATATATCCTTCAAAAATCATTCTTATATGCTGATTTGGTTCTCAAAAAACATTTTTTATCAGTGTTAAAAAAACAGTTGTGCTGCATAATATTTTTAAAAAATTATTAAACTGAATTACATTACATTTAAAAATACCCTTGGGCTCTTTCAGGCTTCAAACATAACATGGAGCTTAATACATAATCTTGTGTAAAACTTGTTTCACCAGTGTCTGAATTGTAGAAGGGTGTTGCATTAAAGATAGCCTGTAGTATTCTCATCTCTGGATAGGGGGCGCCAAAGTGTAAAGCGCACAGAAGCTCTGCCTCGGGATGTAGTTTCTTCTAGATTGCATTGAGCTACCATGGCAGAGGAGATAGAAAGAGAGAGAGAGTCACAAGCACACAATATCGTCAACACTGAATAACATTTAAAGTCCCCCTGTAGTCAAATATTTTATCCCTTAAAACTTATCTTTGATTATCAAAATTATATATTTAAATGTTTTTTCTTGTGAAAATAATTTTTTCATGCCTTAAAATAGCTTGAATGTAACTATACCAGGGTTCCTCAAATCTTGCCCTGGAGGGCCAATGTGCTACAGAGTTTAGCTCCAACCCTACTCAAACTCACCTACCTGTGATTAGGGTTAGAGCTAAACTGTGCAGGAAAGTGGTTCCCGTGGGCCAGATTTGAGGATCCCTGCTCTATACCCTTGCCTCATTTACTATATGCTGATCTATGAATATACAAATTAGTCCCGCCTCCACTCAGTCACACCAGCCAGCGCCTCCTGATCCACTGAACTGTAGTAAACGCAAAACAATTGCATACACGGATAATGACTGATAAAACTATGTTTTTACTAGCGGACAATTACAGTGAATACCGTAACATTCCTTAAAGTTACTTACTTGACAATGTTGTGTCCTAAAATGCCTTGAAGACTCGAATACAGCCGTTCGTGATTCTTAATTCACGCCCGCGAGCATACACGTGTGAAGTGCAGACGCCGATGCTACTTTTACACTGTTGCAATAGTATATATATTGGGTTATAATGCAAGTTAGTGGTTCTAAATTCACATTAAACCACAGCTTCATTGGTTTTTTGCTTTAATTTATTTTTGGTTTTGTGCTGGAATTGGTATATTTTGCATGCTAGTGATAGGAATCGATCCCTTGACGTGATTGGTTATTGGGTTATTGGTTAGCAAACCGAGGGCTGTTTCAAACTGTATTCCTGGGTCAGCCTTTGGGAAACTACAGTTTTCAGGAGAAAAGGAGAAAATGGTATTTTATCAGTCATTATTTCTGACGAGAAATAGCACAGACACTAGACAAGGATGAAACCTTCTAGTGCGCATTTTAGAGGCTTTTTACAGTGCCCTTCTAAGCGCCATCAAATAGAGTATACTATGAAAGGCTGTATGCATATATTTAGTGTTTGCTTCAATAATGGAGAATACTTTGCGTTTTAGATTAGAGGGCTTTGTTTACTAAAACTGGCGCTCTGCTTGCTAGTAATATAGTGATTTACCCTGCTGATCTGTAACAGGAGAGCTGAAACAGATGACACCCCCAGAGCGCAGAAATCCTCTGGCATGGCAGGCATCACAAACAGAGGGGTGTAATCGCTCAGAAATGGGTTTGTAGTGTCTCCCTGCACCCTCAAAACAGTTAGACCGGGTGATGCCGTTTGCACCAGAATCGACCGACTGTCTTTGTCAACTATCAGTTGTACAAGGTCATCTCTGAGACAGAAAAAATAAGGTTAGACCACTGCTGTGAGTAACATAAACATGTATCTGAATAATTACCTGTTAGCTGTGACCAGTGTTTGTATATTGTGAGACTGTCGTCCCATGTTATCATAGTATAGAGCCC